CCTTTTGGGATGAGCACTGGGTGTTGTATGGAAACCAATTTGACAATAAATTTCATATATAAATAAAAAAATAAAATAAAATAAAAAATAAAACACATAAAGAACTTCTACAACTTAACACCAAAACCCCCCAGATAATCCAATTTAAAAATGGGCAGAAGATCTGAATAGACATTTTTCCAAAGAAGACATACAGATGGCCAACAGGCACACACAAAGATGCTCAACATCACTAATCATCAGGGAAATGCAGATCAAAATCACAATGAGATATCACCTAACAACCTGTCAGAATGACTAGAATAAAAAAGACAAGGAATAACATATAATGCTGTATGTTAACTAACTGGAATTAAAATTAAAACTTAAAAAAAAAAACAAACAAGAAATAACAAGTGCTGGGAGGATATGGAAGAAAAGGAATCCCTGTACACTACTGATGAGAATGTAAACTGGTAGGGTCACTGCAGAAAATAGTATGGAGGCTCCTCAAAAAATTAAAAATAGAAATGCCATATAACCCAAAAATTCCACCACTGAGTATTTACCCAAAGAAAATGAAAATGCTAACTGGAAAGGACATATGCATCCCTATGTTTATTGCAGCATTATTTACAATAGCCAAGATATGGAAACAGCCCAAGTGTCCATCAATAGATGAATGGATAAAGAAGATGTATGTATACGCAATGGAATACTACTCAACCATTAAAAGTATGCAATCTTACCATTTGTGACAATATGGATGAACCTAGAGGGTATTATGCTAAGTGAAATAAGTCAGACAGAAAGACAAATATCACTGATTTCACATATGTGTGGAATCTAAGAAAAAAAATAAACAAATAAAAAACAGAATCAGACCTAAAATACAGAAAACAAACTGATGGTTGCCAGAGGGGAGGGAGCTGGGGGGGATGGGCAAAATGGGTGAAGGGGAGTAGAGAATATAGGCTTCCAGTTTAAGTCACAGGAATAAAAAGTACAGCAAAGGGAATATAGTCAGTGGCACTGTAACAGGGCTGTATGGTGACAGATGGTAGCTACACTGGTGATCATAGCATAACGTATAGACTTGTTGAACCACTGTTTTATAACATTGCATTATCCACTGTACTCAAAATAATAATAATATTATTTAAAAAAAGATTTCCAGGGGTACAAAACCCATAAATACTCCAGGAGAGAGGTAAAAGGAGCAACAGCAAGGTGAATATAAGAGAATCTGAAATTCAGGGGAAGAACCCTTGGTGTCAGGAAGGGATGTTTCTTCTACATACAGAGTGCCAATTCAGCATTTAACCCAATGCTGAAATATGAATCTTTGCTTCAGTCCTATCCAAATAAAATAATAAAAGCCATGTTTGATTTTCATTATTTCCTGGAGGCAGGCTGAATAAGGAAAGGATTTTTCCATCACTGGTGTCTGGGGCCCTTATACTCCCTCTGATTGTCACCAGTATCTCCCCTTCCCTGCAATTACCCTAAGAACTCCTTGTGACTCCACTGTTCACACTGTTACCAAGGAAAATTAGTGATAGGCTAGATATTATAAAGAAGAGATGGGAAAAAGCAGCACCTCAACTTGAACTAACAGCCGAGAACAGACAACTTTGGAGAAAGGATATGTAGAAAGTAATACAAGATACTAGTTTCTTTCTGCCAACTTTTCTATATATCCAGGTTTCCTCCCAAGTCATCTATAGTTGAGAAAGCTGTAGAGACAAAATGGGAATCTGAGGAGAATGAAGTTTCCATCCTTTCTTCCCCAAAGGACCTTCTGGGACACTATCTTTTAGGAGTCTCTCTAATGAAATAGAGGGGCATGGAGAACGGAGATAATGAGATAAAGAGATCCTCCCTTCACCTTGGAAACAACAGATGACACTGCTTCCCCTACTGGTTATTCCTGGTCTTTCAACCTTCATCTTCATTTCTCTCATGACACAGATGTCTCATTCATCAATCCCTCCATCCCTCTTGGCCTTTGTCCAGGCAGTTCCAAAAGGATTACTTACACCAAGGGGGCTTCTCAGAGCGCTGCCGGAGTTGTAGGGTAGGTGAATGCAGAGTACGGGGTGGGGAAAATGGGCTATCTGAGGCCTGGTTGCTGTGCATAGAGTCAAAGAGGGCTGGATAGAGTGGGGAGAGAGAAGGAAGGAAAAAATGAGTTTGAGGAAGAATCCAAGAACCACAGGTTCTCAACATAAGCCAAAACAAACTTACGCTTTCTCAGGCTGAAAAGTAGTGTTTCCTAGGGACGCTTCACACAAACCATTTTTAATATTTTAAACTTTATATTATGAATATTTTCATTTTCTGTTCCACCCTATCTCCCCATTTTTAAAAAAAGTTGTTGAAAGACTAGTACAATCCATACTGATACATTCATCTCCTATATTTACCACATCAATGTGTTAACACTTTGCCATACTTGTTTCACCCATTTCTTCATGCTGAAGTTCTTTTTTAAAAATGAGAGACATTATGAAACATTTCAGCTCTAAATTCATCAATATTCACCTCTAAAATATAAGGAATTTTTCCTACATAGCCACACACCATTAACAAACCTAATAAAATTTAATAGTAATACCCTAATATCATCTAATACCCAATTCATATTCAAATCTCCCTCAATTATTCCAAAAACGTCTTCTTTAGTAATATCCAAACATGAACCATGCATTACATTTTATTATGTCTCCAAAGTCTCTTTTGATCTGGAATATTATCCTCCCCCGCTCCCCTGCCACACACACCATTTATTTTCCTCACAGTGATTTATTTTATTTATTTTTTTAATTTTTTTTTCAACGTTTTTTATTTATTTTTGGGACAGAGAGAGACAGAGCATGAACGGGGGAGGGGCAGAGAGAGAGGGAGACACAGAATCGGAAACAGGCTCCAGGCTCTGAGCCATCAGCCCAGAGCCCGACGCGGGGCTCGAACCCACGGACCGCGAGATCGTGACCTGGCTGAAGTCGGACGCTTAACCGACTGTGCCACCCAGGCGCCCCATCACAGTGATTTTTTTTTTTAAAAAAACAGGTCAGTTGTCTCACAGAAACATTGTTTCCCACATTCTGGATTTGTCTGATTGCTCCCTCATAGAATTGTTTAACTTGTTTCACTATTGCTTGTATTTCCTATAAACTGGAAGTTAGATATAAAAGGCTTGATTAGATTATTCAGTTTAAATAACTTTGGTAAGAATATTTTAAGAGGTGATCCGATGTACTTTATATCACATCATATTAGAGGCACATAATATCTCACTGTCTCACTAAGTAAAGCTAAGTTTACTAACTGGGTTTAAGTGGTAGCCACAAGATCTCACCATTGAAAAGTTTTCTTGTTCTGATTAGAGGTAATCCTTGGGCACCATGCAACTCAATCAACATTTCACTTAATTGTGTTAGTATCCATTAATGATCCTTAATTATTTAAGTGGTAATTTTCTAGTTCTATCAATCCTCCAACATTTATTAGCTGGCATATTTTCTGTAAAGAAGAGCTTTCCCTGGGGCTATTTCATTACACTGAACTGCAGTTCTTACTGAAAAGGTAAAATAAGAGTTTATTTACTTCCAATTAGTTTTCAGAGAAAAGAGGTAGTGAAAGTATTCTCCAATTGTGGCAGATGAGAATTATTTTATTTTTGCCCTCTTTTTAGTAGAATTACTTATTATTTATTATGAGCTTGTAGATTTTTATATATTCAGTGTACTTTAAATTATTTTTAAATGCTAAAATGTGGGGTGTCTGGGTGGCTCAGTCGGTTAAGCACCCAACTTTGGCTCAGGTCATGATCTCTAGGTTCATGGGTTCAAGCCCCGCAACAGGCTCTGTGCTGACAGCTCAGAGCCTGGAGCCTACTTTGGATTCTGTGTCTCCCTCTCTCTCTGCCTGCCCTTTGTCTCTCTCTCTCTCAAAAATAAATAAACATTAAAAATTTTTTTAAATGCTAAAATGTTCTGATTCTGGTCAGTGGGAGCCTCTTCAGGGCTTGATCACTTCCTTGCTTTTGTTATAACATGACTCAGGACCACCTTGTAATTTCCTTGTTCTAGACCATGCATTCTCAACAAAATTGGTTCTGGTGAGGCTGAAAAAAATCTTAGCTATTCTGCTGGTTTGTGGTCCATCACATGGTCACAGACCATAAACACATATGTATTGTATATTTGTGGTATTAAAATTCCACGTGGTGGGGGCTACAAGGGGAAAAACTAAAAGACTCTGGGGATGGAGTATGAACATTGGATTTCTTTTCACTTATTTAGGTCTTCTTTAATTTATTCAGCAATGTTTTGTAGTCTACCATGCAGAAGTCTTTAAACTTCTTGGTTAAATTTGCTCCCAGGTATTTTATTCTTTCAGATGTTATTATAACTGGTATTGTTTTCTTAATTTCCTTTTTGGATTGTTCATTGCTGTTTACAGAAACACAATAAATTTTTGTGAGTTTATCTTGTACCCTGCAACTGGGCTGAATTTGTTCATTAGTTTTGGAAGGTTTTTTTTGAGGATTCTTTGCTTTTTTTCTATATAGGGCCATATCCTCTGCAAATAGGTTTAATTTCTCCCTTTCCAATTTCAATTCCTTTTTTTTTCTTGCCTAATTACTTTGCCTAAAATTTTCAGGACAACGTTGAGCAGTGGTGAATGTGGGCATCTTTGTCTTATTCTTGAATGTAGAGGAAAAACTTTTAGTCTTTTGCCATTGAGTATGATGTGTGTTATTGGTTGTTCATAAAGGCCCTTTATCATGTTGAGGAAGTTTCCTTCCATTCCTAGTTTGCTGAGTGTTTTTTTCATGAAAGGGTATTGGATTTTATCAAACGCTTTTCTATGTCAATGGAGATGATTGTGAGTTTTTCCCTTTGTTCTTTTATTTTTTATTTTTTAAAAGATTTAATTTTTTAACTTGTAAAAATAATGATAGAACAATTTTTTAAGTTTATTTATTTATTTTGAGAGAAAGCATGCACACACATGGGGAAGGGGCAGAGAGAGAGAGAGAGAGAGAGAGAGAGAAATAGAGAGAATGAATCCCAAGCAGGCTCTACTCAGTGTGGAGCCTGACTTGGGCTCAATCACATGACCGTGAGATCATGACCTGAGCAGATATCAAGAGTTTGATGCTTAACTGACTGAGCCACCCAGGTGCCCCTTTTAATTTTTAAATATTTTTATTTTTATTTTAGAGAGAGAGACTGTGCATGCAAGCAGGGGAGAGGGGCAAGTTGGGGGGGGGGAGGATGGAGACAGAATGAGAAAGAGAGAGAGAGAGAGAGAGAGAGAGACTCTATGTTCAGCACAGAGCCCAAAGCAGGGCTCAATCCCATGACCCTGGGATCATGACATGAGCTGAAATCAAGAGAGGAACACTCAACCAACTAAGCCACCCAGGTGCCCCTCTTTTTGTTCTTTTAATGTAGTGTATTACATTACACTGACTGATTTTCTTATGTTGAATCATACTTGCATTTTTTTTTTTCACTCTTGCATTCTTGAGGTAAATCTCACTTAGCCAACTTGCTGTTGGATTTGGTTTGCTAGTATTTGGTTGAGAATTTTTGCTTCTCTATTTATAAGGGATATTGGTCTGTAGTTTAATTTTCTTATGGTGTCTTTATCTGGCTTTGGTATCAAGGTAATGACGGCTTCATAGAAAGTATTTTCTCCTATTCTATTTTTTGGAAGAGTGTGAAAAGTATTAGAGTTAATTCTTATTAACTATTTGGTAGATTTCACCAGTGTAGCTATCTTGTCTTGGACTTTTCTTTCTTGAAAAGTTTTTCTACTGATTCAGTCTTTTTTTCTCTTACAGGTTATGTTCAGATTTTCCATTTCTTCTTGGGTCAGTTTTTATAGTTTCTGTGTTTCTAGGAATTTGTTCATTTCATCTAGGTTATCTAACTCATTGGCATATAATTATTCATAGTGCTCTCTTATAATCCTTTTTATTTCTGTAAAGTCAGCAGCCATGTCCCCAGTTTTACTCCTGATTTTGGTTATTTCCATCGACACTTGATTTTTCTTAGTCTAGTTAAAAGTTTGTCAATTATGTTAATTTTTTTCAAAGAACCAACTTTTGGTTTTGTTGATTCTTTCTGTTTTCTATTCCTTCCTTCTTTTGTCTTTGTTCTAATCTTCACTATTTATTTTCTTCTACTAGCCTTGGGTTTAGTTCCTTAAAGTATAAAGTTAGGTTTTTGGTTTACCATCTTTCTTGTGTTCAAATGTAGGTGTTTACAGGTATAAATTTCACTCCTAGTACTGATTTTGCTGCATTCCATAATTTCTGGAATGCTGCATTTTCACTTTCATTCATCTCAAAGTATATTCTAACTTCCCTTGTGATTTCTTCTTTGACACATAGGTTAAGAATATGTTTAATTTCAGGGTGCCTGTGTGGCTCAGTCACGATCTTGAGGTTTGTGAGTTTGAGCCCCCATCAAGCTCTGTACTGACAGCTCAGAGCCTGGAGCCTGCTTCAATTCTGTGTGTCCCTCTCTCTGATCCTCCCCCCACCCTTTATCTCTCTCTGTAAAAAATAAACATTAAAAAAACCAAATGTTTAATTTCTCCATATTTGTGAATTTTCCAGTTTTCTTTCTATTAATGATTTCTAGTGCCATTCCAGTGTGGTTAGAGAGGATATTTGGTATGATTTCAATTTTTTAAAATTTATTTTTTTGTGTCCTAGCATATGGTCTATCCTGTAGAATATTCCATGCGCACTTAAGAAGAATCTCTATTTGTTGGTGATGGAATGTTCTATATGTCTGTTAAGTTTAGCTGGTTTATAGCATTATTGAAACTGTTTCCCTACTGATCTTCTGTCTGGTTGTTTTATCTATTATTAAAGGTGAAATATTACACTATTATCATAGAACTATCTCTCCCTTCAATTCTGTCAATGTTTGCTTCATATATTTGGGGACTCTGTTGTTTGGTGAGTATATGTTTATAATTTTTGTTGTGTTCTTGATGAACTGACCTTTTTATCAACATAGAGTGACCTTCTCTGTCTCTTATAACAATTTTTTATTGAGAGACCATTTTGTCTGACATTGGTATAGCTACCCTGGCTCTCATTTCGTTATTATTTGCATGGGATATCTTTTTCTATCCTTTCACTTTCAACCTATTTGCATCTTTGGATCTAAAGTGAATTTTGTGTAGATAGCATATAGTTGAATGACTTTCTAAAAAACCCATTTTGTTAATCTCTGCCTTTTAACTGGAGAGTTTTATTCATTTACATTTAAAGTAATTACTGATAAGGAAGAGCTTAATTCTGCCATTTCACTATTTGTTTCTATACAGCTTATACTTTATTTTTTTCCTCCTTTGCTCCATTACTATCATCTTTGGGTTTAATTGATTTTATGTAGTGTACCATTTTGATTCCCTTCTCATTTCATTTTCTGTATATTTTCTAGATATTTTCTTAGTGATCACCGAGGAGCTTACAATTAACATTCTAAATTTATAACAATCTTGTTTGAATTGATGACAATTTAGCTTCAATAACATACAAAAACTCTGCTCCTATAAAGCTCAGCCCTCACCTTATGTTGTTACTGTCACAAATTATATCTTTATTTATTATATGCCCATTAATACAGACTTGTGATGATTGTTTTATTCATTTATGTTGTTATATATGACACAAAAAGAGAAGTTACAAACCAAAAATACAGTAATGCTGACTTTTATATTTACCAATGTAGTTACCTTTATTTTGGTATGGTATCAAGTCACTATCTAGTGTCCTTTTATGTCAGCCTCAAAGGCTACTTTTAGCATTTCTCAGAAGGTAGGTGTTAATTTCTCTTTCATTTCTGAACAGTTTTGCTAGATAAATAATTATTGGTTGATTTTTTTTTCTTTTAGCACTTTAAATATGTCATTCTATTGCTTTCTGGCCTCTGTGATTTCTGATGAGAAATTGGTTGTTAATCTTACTAAAGATCCCTTGTATGTGACAAGTTGCTTTTTTCTTACTACTTTCAAGATGTTCTGTGTCTTTTGACAATTTGATTATAATGTATCTCAGTGGATTTTTTTTTATGTTTATTTTTGAGTGAGAGAGACAGAGGTGAATGGGAAAGGGGCAGAGAGAGAAAGAGGCACAGAATCCAAAGCAGGCTCCAGACTCTGAGCCGTGAGCACAGAGCCCGATGCAGGGCTCAAACCCACGAACCATGAGATAATGACTTGAACCAAAGTTGAGCGCTTAACTGACTCAGGTCAATTGACCCAGGTGCCCCTAAGTGTGGATATCTTTGAATTTATCCTTCGTGGTGTCTGAATTATTTGGATGTATAGATTTGTGTCTTTATCACATTTGAGAAGTCTTCAGAGCCGTTATTCAAATATTTTTTCTGCCTCTCTCTCTTTCTGGGACTCCCACTATGAATATGTTGGTATCCTTGATGGTATCCCACAAATATCTTTGGCTCTGTTAATTTTTTTCATTCTTTTTTCTTTCTCCTTCTCAAAATGGACACTTTCAAATGACTTATCTTTATTTTGCTGACTCTTTCTTTTGCATGCTCATATCTTCTAAGAAAACCTCTAGTGAGTTTTGCGTTTGTTATACTTTTCAGTCCCAGAATTTCTGCTTGGTTCCTTTTTATATTTTCTATCTCTTTAATGATATTCTGTATTTGCTGAGACATTCTCCTGATGTCCTTTAGTTCTTTGTCCATGGTTTCCCTTAGCTCATTAACCATATTTAAGATAGCTGATTTAAAATATTTGTCCTAGTGAGTGCTTCCTCAGGGACTGTTTCCATTAATTTCTTCTGTGAATGGATCATATTGTCTGTATCTTTGCATAGTATATAATGTTTTGTTGAAAACTGGACATTTTGAATGATGCATTAACTCTGAATATCAGATTATTCCCCCTCCTTAAGGTTTGTTTTCATTGTTTGCTGTAGGCTGTGGCTGTTTAGTGATTTTTCTAAACTCTTCTTGTGAAGTCGGTCTTCTTTATCATATGTAGTCTCTGAAGTCTCTGTTCCTTTAGCTTGTTTCACAACTAGTGTTCTGACAAGGATTTCCTTGAATGCCAAGAACCAAAAGAAGGGGAGGGGAAGATGGGGGGAAAGGAGAAGGGAGGGAAGGGGAGTTCTCTCAGCCTTTACAGATTGGTTCTGTGTTGAGGTATTCCTTCAACAGTTAGCAAAACTGTTTACAACTCCCCCTTGGTCTTTACTTCTTGCTTGTGCCAAGTACAGAGTTCAACCAGAGGTAAAATCTTAGGGTCATCTTGTGTGTTTTCTGCACATGCGTCCCTCCCTAGGCATGCAAATGGCTTCTAAATTCCCCAGCATATGTGGGTGCCTTTGAATGCGTTAATTTTCCAAAAAAATTCTCTCCCTAAGTCTTTACCCCAGGCTTTCAGTACACTTATTGTTTGCCTCAATTGTAATTTTTGCCCCAGGAAGCAGCATGTTATTCATATGCCTTACACTGTTTTCAAGGAACACTCTCCGCTACTTTACTGCCCTGATTCAGGTCCAAGTTAAGTGAAACAAAGGTAAGTACCCTGTGACAGTTCTTTAGGTTAGACAAGTTAGAATAGATAAATTAGAATAGACAAACACAATTCTTTGAGAATAAAGTCTGTTCTCTCTTTGGAACCAGGGACCAGAGCCCCACACTGAGAACATGGCCTGCCGTCTTTAAGACTGATGCCAAAGTTGGGGAGAGGGTGGGATAAGAGACAGTAAAATGATGGGAAGCTTTCTCCCATTCTTAGGTTGCCTCTTTCTCAATTGACCATTTTCCTGGTTGCTGCAAACTTTTGATTATTTTCCAGAGTTCTGACAAAGCTGATTCTGATAGTTTTTGCTTGATTTTTTGGTGCTTCTATGAAAAGACAAGCCCTCGGAACAACCTATTAATTAATTTTTACATTTAGATTTCTGAACCAGGAGTACATATACAGCATGAAGTATGGATTCAATTTTAATTTTTGTCAAATGACTACTGAGTTGTGCCGACTTCATTTATTAAAATGTCTATCTTTTCCCCAGTATTTTGAAATACTAACTTCATCTGTTTGTATATTTTCTATTCTGTTGATTGGTCTCTCTGTCCATTCACGTACAATACAACAGTGTTTTCATAATAGAAGTTTTATAGAATGTTGTGAGATCTGATAGGGCTAGTAACTTTTCACTACTCTTCTTTTCGAGGTTTTCTTTGGCTACTCTTGCTTATTTTTCTTTTTTTTTTTTTTTTTTAATTTTTTTTTTTCAACGTTTATTTATTTTTGGGACAGAGAGAGACAGAGCATGAACGGGGGAGGGGCAGAGAGAGAGGGAGACACAGAATCGGAAACAGGCTCCAGGCTCCGAGCCATCAGCCCAGAGCCCGACGCGGGGCTCGAACTCACGGACCGCGAGATCGTGACCTGGCTGAAGTCGGACGCTTAACCGACTGCGCCACCCAGGCGCCCCTCTTGCTTATTTTTCAATGACAACTTCAGAATCAATTTGTCTGACTTTAGAAAAACAGCAGCATTTTTATTGGAATTATGTTAAATTTATAAATTAACTTGGGAAGTTATGATGTTGAATTGGCCTATGCAATTAAACAATTTTTCAAGTCTACTTTTGTGTCTTTTTAGAGTGCCTATATTTTTAATTTATTATTCATGTTCTAGGAAGCACAGGGGCAGAGACAGAGACAGACGTACAAGATAAGAGTATTCTCCATACCTGCAGATGCCTGTGCTTGGGCATCAGTGTGGCGCTGGCAGACGCTACTCAGGAATTCACTCACTTGACGCAGGGAAAGGGCATTATGCAGTGTTTCCAGAGGGTATATGGTAGGCACCATGGAACACCCTTCAAATCCTGTTAGAAAAGAGATGGGCAAAGTCAATGTTATTCCTGCCAGATATACCCCAATTGTCCAAGGAAGCATGGAGAGTCCCTGAGAGCCATCAGGAGAGTCCGTGGCTTTTGGAGATGGGGTATCCAAGATTCTCAAGAGTGGGAACTCTTTAGAGCCCATAAAGGAGTCTGTTTCTCACTTCCAGATTTCCTAAAAAGTCTACCTGCTAAGACCTCCAAGTGAATCGAATCATCTCTGATCCTACCTATGGAGAGCCTGCAATGACCCATGGAAAAATCAACAGAATTCCAATAGGGTAAGTACCTACATTGCTCCTGCTCTTTCTAGGGGAATAAAACAAAAGTCCAGAGGTAATGGTGAAATTGTAGGTCTAAATGAGGTAGGGAGGTCATGGAGCTGGGAAGAAATAGCAGGTTTCAGGGATCATGTAAAGAGAACTGGATTAAAGAGGAGGGCATGGAATCTGAGGAGGGGTTCATGCAGATTTAGGATATGGGTAGAAAGACTAGCTGAAAGCTAGTCTGGAAGCAAGCTGGAGTGCATGCAATACACATGAAGCTCAGCCCAGGAAAACCACATGCATGAACAGGCTGGGGGATGGAAGTTCTTTCTTGGTCATTTCCATCACATCAAAGCTTCTCCCTTCTGCTCTCACTGGAAAACCCCAGAAGACTTGCTAGAATTTCTCTAGTCCATCAGGAAAATGAGGCAAACCCCTAGGAAAAAGAATAAATACTGATTCTCTGTGCTGAACCCAACAATTCCAAGGTAAGTTTCCAGTCTGGGTTGGGTGAAGTGTAAACCTAAATTTGGAACCTTAATCCCAGGGCCTCTTGATGAAAAAAAAAAAAAGTCCCCATTAGAGGATCAAGAACACACATCCCAAGTACTTTTTTCAGCCCCCAATCTTTCCTATGTCTCTTTACAATTCCTTAAAGAAACTAAGAGTAGGCACAACAACAATACCTATGTAAGACATAGCCTCTTGTTCCCTAATGACTAACTGTATTAGTCATGACTAATCTGTAACTCAAAAAGATTACACCTGACCATCTTCTAAGCTCTGGCCCTTGTGTGCTTCAAAGATTCGATTAAGACATTTGTGCCTCAATTTTCCCCTGTACTGTAGTGGCAGGAGCATAGAAGTATATAGTCTTTAGCTCCTCAGAGGGGCTAGAAAAATATTTAGATTTGAAGATGGTGGTAGCTGAGGGTTATAGACACAAGAGCAGATTCCAGGGCAAGAGACTATTCCTATACTGAATAGAGCTGGGAATGGGTAACATTAGGAGGCAGTGAGAAAGGAGAACAGGAAGGGGATGAGCAGCCAATGCTACAGCTACCAGGCAGTCTGGCCCCAATCCCATCCAAGCAACTAAATGCAAGTCACATAACCTTAGGGTAAACAGGAGAAAGGAATAGGTGGACTCTCCTGCCAGAAGTGCAATAAGCAAAGCAGTCAGTCCCAGCCAGGGTAATGGCAGCAGCCAGCTTGGTGGCAGGGGGTACCGTAGAGGCACTCGGGGTCATCCTGGCCTGAGCGCAGCCAGTTCCGGAAGAGGCGCAGGTGGTAGGAGCACTGGTGCAGGTGATGCGCCAGCGTGGCATCCAAGGAGACTGGCCGGCCCCCTGGACAGTCAGAGGAAAAACTGCGCAGCAACCGGACCACAGGGTGCTGGTCATCCAGCAGCTCTGGAGGGGATGGGGGGGACCACGGCAGGAAGCACAAAGATAAAGAAAGAGAAGAGGGAGAGACAATGAGGGGGGCACTGAATGGCACAAGCATTACTAGGAAGTGGGACCACTCAACTCCAAGGTGAGCTAAGAGAGAAGGAGAGATGGTCAGAACCACTGGGTATCTCTTGCAGGGAAGAAGAGTCGGCATCACATGGAATCTAAAAGAAGGGGCTAGTGAAACCTTATCATACAGCAAGGCCCTCCCCTCTCTCACTGAGGATAAATTAAGTCAGTGCTTACAGAGAGCAGTCACATCATTCTAGATGGGGGTAAGCTGGCAGTTTTGTGGCTGGAAGTCTTGATTAGAGCTCCAGTGTCCCTGGTCATCCCTGAACAGATGATCCCTGAACATCCTTACTTAGGTACTGCTTCACAGACAAATGTATTTATAAAGTTGATAGAGATGCAAAGATTCAAAGTCACTTAGAGAAGAGTATCAAAAATGGTAGAGGGAATCAAGATAGAGTTTGAAGCTAAAAAGGCTCAGGCCAGGCCTCTGGACAAGACTCTAAAATAGCCACAAACAGGGAAGGTATTAGATAGGTGGCTAAGGAGATTGGCAGAACACCAGGTATAGAGGTCCTTTTAAACAGAGTATGTAAAAAACGGAATCCGTAAGTGAAAATGATGATATTGACTAATCAGCCTTTACTCTTACCCAAATATGCAGATATTTAAGAAATAATTGCATAAATCTCAGGATTCAGGAGACACTGTATCTATTACATAAGCCAAAAAAAAGTTAGATAATTTTATATTTTCTTCCCACTGCTGTCTAACTTTGGTCAGCTGGTGAGTGGAAAAGCTTCAATCCTGAACCACTTACAATTTTAGCTGCGTGGCAAACTTTGTAGATATACGCAATTCAAATGCAAAAGGTTGAAGGCAGTGAAAGGCATGTGGAAAGGGGCATAGGAGGAGCAATAAGGAAAGGATCCTAGGAGAAAGGTATGCTGTCTTAAGACCTGATGGTATAGACAAGTTATGTTAGGGTAGCTAAAGAACTCCCAGACCAGAAGTGGTTCCACAGAGTGATCTTATGAGACTATGGTTTCCAGGGATGTTATTATGGATGTCAGGAGAGGTTTCAGCTCTATCCAGGCACTAAGTGTATCCTACAAGAAATGGGCTTGGTAAATCCAATGGGTACACTCTAACGTTCTGGATAAGGGTAAACTAGTCTCTTTCCCACTATATTAGTTTACTTTAGTGAGTTCAGCATGCAGTTTAGTAATGGGCCATACTTGTATACTCAACGTAGTCAGAGGATGTGACAGAAGCATATCAGGAACAGAGGCAGGGATAGGCTGACAGATGTTCTCCTGCTAAAGTGAGATACTGCCTTGCCTCCTTGCCAAAGCTAGGTCAGGTTTTCCAGCTGCTATTTCAAAGACAGACCTCATGGCAAGGAAATGGTGATGATGGGACAGTAGGTTGGCATATTGTTGTGACTAATCTGCATAAACAATTGTAGTCAGAGCATCCACTCTGTAATTGCTGGGTCAGTGATGCAAGATTTGACCATGGGGTAGAGCCCTCATGTTGTCCAGAGGGACAACTTAAATCTAAATAATCTTCAGCAAGAGATGTAATAGCTCCAAATTTCTCCAACAGGTAGATCCCAGATTCTGGTATCTGAGGCACTTTAGCCTCCAAACTCAAGTACAAGAAGAGGGCCAGAAGGTCTCTGAGGAAGTGTGCAGGGTGTCAAAGGAGATCCTGAATTTTCTCTCCTGCACCATATCTGAATTGTCCAGGTCTTTCTTCTGCTCTTCCTTCAGGAGAATTAATTCTTCTCTTCTTCAACTGGTGAGGCTGCTAACGAAGGCTTCAGGGAACTAGAGATATATAGGTTTGAGGATCTGTTTTATTAATTTGGATCTTTTCTCATAAAGCCTAAGAACTAGGCTAAATCAGTGATTTAGCTCTAATTTCAGGGGCCCAATTTCCTGGTACTATATTCTATACTCTAAGTAACACATCTCATAAGTCCAAGTCCCAAGTTGTGGGGTTGGGTTGGTGCATGAGGTTCTACTCTGGAGATGATTGTGACACATGAAGGCCAGAAGAATTTGGAGCTAAATGTGAAGGCACAGTGATGCCACTCTAAAAGGGGAGCTCCTGTCACAGGCACAAATGGGAGCCAGGGTGGGGGTAGGGTTATAAACCGAGCAAGTATAGGCTAGTCAACCTAGGGAGATTTCAGCAGTGCCTAGTGGAGAAGTATGGCCTGACTGGGCTAAAATCTAGCAGCTGCGACTGGCTATGGAGGTTTTTCCAGCCAGGAAGCCAGGCTAATTTTGCCTCCTTTGCAGAGTCTTAGTTCTCGGACAGAAGAAAATCATATATAAAGAAACCGGATTTACCTTGAAAACAAGGTACAAGGCAGAGAGAAACGAGGAATATGAAGGATAAAACAGGGAGTAAGTCCTGGGTTTTCCTGCCATGCCCTACAAAGAGACCACAGCTCTTCAATTTTTGGTTTACACAGATCTCTAAACTCTCCCACCTTAGTATGACCAGACCAGTTCTTCAATATTCTTGAAGTATTATTCCTTCCTAAGTCCCCCAGAATTCCCAGGTGACATCTCAACCTTCACTTCAAGCTTATCTGAGATAGCAGTGTCTTAGGCTGGGGCTAAAGGGAAACTGTGTAGTAACTCGTGTTATATAACCCAAAGTACAATCCCTTTTCCTTTACCTACTACCTCCTACTCCTTTCTTTCTCTCTTTATCCCAAATCGGTCTGGGCTCCTGTTTTCTAGGCCAACGCCCTAGGTTAGTAGTAACATAAAGCAAATGTCAGGAGCACAAGAGCCACATAAAGTACACACAATGATAGGAGATAGGAATATGGTGATGGAAAACTGTAAACTCAAGACCTTATGGGTATGCTTGGGAGCTGGGAACTGCAGCAGCATTGCTCCAAAAGAGAAACAAATTAGTCATTCACTCCAACAAAGAGTTGGAGAAAAAAACAGGAAGACCAAACTTATACGCTGAGGAGTAGGGGGAAAAAAAAGACATGGGGATAATACAGGAAATACTATTCTCTTCCTAAGAAGGAGAACCATTGTCATGTTTGTACAAAGCCCAGCAGTCATGTGATGGGAAAGGGAGAGGTTTAATTAATGTTTTGGTGATGATGCTGAAAAAAGTGACAGAACAGTGATGATGGTGACCATGGATGTAAATCCCTGAGTTGCCACACAGATAGAGCAGCCAGGCTGCAGCCAAGAGTAAAGTTTGTCACAACAAGGAGTATGTCCCAAGAGGGACACTGGTGGGTGGTTCAGAGACACCAGGTTGTCAACACAGTGGAAGACAGAGGCAGAGTCAGTGTCAGAACTCAGAGGTTAAGTGTCTGGAGGTGACATGATGAGGGGGAATGACATTGAGTCAGAAGCAAACGTACCGTTAGTCGGATGCTTTGCAAACGACACAGAAAATCGTTTTACGGCCGGGACAAACAAGAGCTCTGGGGAGAAAAGACATCATGGGGATTATACCCACCCCTGCCCCCACCCTCTGCTCTGGAATTTGCCCACAATATACTCTGTTCTTTACAGTTAGTATATGATCTGTTCCCACCCCACCCCCTAGATTCCTGACTACTACCTTTTGATCTTCTCCTTTGGTATAATCTCCTTGTAGGAATCTGTGTGTCATTTCTACCACAGTACGACCCCACAAACAACCCTAATTTCACCACAGCATTCTCTTTCTGGTCATTTGGAAATAAAATCTGTGTAAAAACTTTCCTCCCTTCCCCCAATCTCTTTCCATATCATCTTTCCTGCCTTGACTGAGCAACTTCCCCATCCCTGATTTCCTAGATTTTAATTAAGATTCCACTGCATTCTTCCTGACCACGGATCATCCTCCTTGGTCCTTGCTCCTATAGGCCAGAATCCAGGAAAGAATATAAAGGTGAAATAAATTGATGTAGCAGGGCTGTACGTGGGAGATTATGAAGGGATAAGCATAAATAAGTAGTATTTGTATGGTGAGAGGGAATGCAAATGGAGGGGTGCATGGGGTCTTGGTTCCTTCTCCCCTCTATAATTGATGAAGAAAATTTGCTATAAGGCCAGAGTCAGTGCCACTTTAAGTATGAATAGTTCTTGAGCTGTGTCTGCGCTGGGGGACAAGTGAAAAAAAGAGTTGCCCCCCAAACCCACCCACATACCATCTCGGTGCTTGAGACTGGCAGGTGGTAGCTTTTTGCCATGGCTGCGGGCGTAGTCCTGAAGATTCGGAGCGCTGGAGGAGCCACCCAGCACTGTGGTGCTGAACAGCCCTGTGCACTGTGAGCCTGCAAGGCCGGGAGTGCATTAGTAGCCACACAAAGCTGCAATTACCACACAGAAGTACACATAACTTCACATGACAACATCAAGACACATACATATAGCTACTCAGAGCCACCACCATGTGGCCACTTCTCATAACCACAAACAGATTTCACTATTGTCCATAGTCGCACCGGGCAAGCAAGGTAGGGATTCTGCCAAAGATCTATATACTAGATACAAGAGGCCTCTACAAATACAATGTTAGTCATATTAGGGGACTCAAAGCTACTGAAAGGCATAGACTGTTTTCCAGGTGCCTCTTAGGAATGCTAAAAGAATAGGTAGATCTCTCTAGATCTCCCTAGATTTAATTCAGTGCTCCTTACCCTGGATATAGAGTTTGAAGAATTGAGAAATATAATACTTTATAGACTTACAAGGAAAGAACTTTGATTGAAACTAGAGACTAGGTTTTGAGCACTCAGCCCAAATTTCAAGTTCATGTAAGTTTCAATCCCTCCTAAGTTTTTCATCCAACATTCCCTTCCTTCTATCTCTCTTCAGGCCTTTTTTTCGTTTCCCAAGAAAAGAAGTACGAGACTCACTGAATTTTTAAAGCTGGAAGGGACTTAAAGATTATCCAGTACAATCTCTTCATGTTAGAGGTGAAGAAACTGAGAGTCAAAAGGGATCTCATTAGCTTCAAAGTAGTCGGCTGAGTCCACTTCAGCTGGTCACGACATCTGCTGTCTGCAGTGAGTTCGTAGCCCTACGGGCTTCCTGGCTGATGGTCTCAGAGCCTGAGCCTGTCGATGTCTGTGTCTCCCTCTCTCTGCCCCTCCCCCGTTCATGCTCTGTCTCTCTCTGTCCCAAAAATAAATAAACATTGAAAAAAAAATTTATAAAAAAAAAAAAAAAAAAAAAAAAAAAAAAAGGGATCTCATTTACTCAAGGTCATATAGTTTGTTAGGAGCTAAGCTAGACTAGAGTCCAGGTCTCCTGATTCTGAAGATCAGTTGTGTTCAGTTAGAAAAGACATAATTATTTTTTTCATCAAGAAGAAACAGAGCATTGTTTCTGAAGTGAAGATGGACACAAATTAAAGGCATGTGAAGAGTCAGGTGACTGCATGCAGAACATGCCTACTGTGTGCTGAGGACCCTATTAAGAACGAGGACCTGATAAACACGAAACAACGAAAAAGCCATGTTTTTCTGCTCTCAAACATTTATTATCTCATAAGCCCTATCTCAAAGCCAGATGCCTACACACATAAGTTCAAAGAAAGCAAAGGAACTCTACTGCCAGAGGAGTAAATAAAACTTAAAAAATCTCTGAAGCAAATAAACCAGTCAATGTTCCAGATATTATTGAGAGTAGGGTTGAGACTCCAAAGTCCCCTCTCCTACTGTAGCTCACAAGGACAGAGTGGGAGGAAAGAGACAAGATTGACACCTAAGTTTCAGGAGTTGCATCTCTCCTTCCAAATCCATCTTAGCCAAGGCCTTGGCTTTGGCTTGGGAACTTAATATAGCAGAGATGGATAGAATGGAAAGGAGGTCAGCTTCCTTTGAGCCCACAAAGAAGGTGTCATGGTTTCAGGGGTCCCAGCATTTCAAAGCTACCATAAAAATCAAGAAGCTTAGACGGCTAATAATCTCTGTCCTGGAATTCAAGATTGCTGCTCTATGCAGCACCTTCTCCTACTTTTCATGTGTAAACAGGCTCTAGAATGGGGCTCAAATAAAGTTTGTTAAGTATGTCTACTTTTCTTCACAGAAGCTGAAACTAGCAGACTTTATCCCAGACCACCCGAGCTTTGTTCTATATTTACTTCCTCCCCTAATAATTTTCTGGTGCCGTCCTGCCAATCTTGCCCTGTCCAGTCCTTGGATCATCTCAGAGGGTAGTGTCTAGGTTACCACCACCTTTGTTCTTGACAGCACTCCTACTCAACTGGGCCTGACACACCTATCCTCCTCATTTTCAGCCTACTTGAAACCTATTCATTACTGAAACTTCTAGGAAGAGAAGTCTGTGTCACAGATCCATCAATTTGCCATTTATTTTCCAGGCCCCAAACCATCTACCTCATCTCAGGAATCTAGAAGGCAACCTACTTCCATAAAACTAGCCAGGAAAGTTACCAAAACCTTTCTCCCCCTTGCTGGTCCAAATGCTGATTATGTTTAGGCCAAGAAATTGCCAAGGACAAAATTAACAGAAAAATGAAAGGAGCTAAATGGAGTGAATAATAGGACAAGATAGAAAGAGCCCGAGAACCAAGTCCAGACGCCACACAATTGTCTCTAACTGCCAGTTTACTTACTGGCTCACAAGACACTGTATTCAAAGATAGCCCCTCCCAAGGACCACTCCCCGCTCCCAAAGAATACAATACCCTCTGAGGCTTGGTCCTTCCTGCAGTCTGTGTTCTTAGGAAAGGTTGAATGATGTTCTCCACCCCTCTCCAGGAATCAAAAAAATCAAGAGACATTCCCTCAAAGTCCTGAGAGAAGCCTCTGCCACTACACCAGTCTCAGATTTGTCCCTCAATTTTCAGGAAGGAAGGAAAAAAAATTACAGGATTAGGAGAGGATGAAAGAGCCATGGAGGTAGGAGGGGCCTGAGCAGGGATACAATACACATAGATCTCAGAGGAAGACATGGCACAAGTTGTCCAAATGAGGAATATGACACTTATGAGGAGGTCACAAGTACATCTATTTATAGTTTTGTCTCTGGTAACTCTGAAGTATCAGAGTCTCCATGGCCCCTTAAGGTTGGGGCTAGACTGGGAGGACAGATAAGGAATGAGAGGGGAAGCCAGAAAAAAGTCCTTCAGCCAGAGAAATGGGAGTTGGTATAAAAAAACAAAAGAGAAACACTTTCCTGGAATGGAAACAATCATCTGGGTTCAAAGTTCACACCTAAACATGGCTTCTCCCAATTCATCCTCCCTAGCCCCACCGACAATTCCACAGACTGAAATGACCCCAACACCCATGACTAAGGTTTCCCACAATAAAACCCTGAGGAACAGACAGACACACCTCCCCAACAACAACAGGTGAGATGCTGGAAGACCATACCTAGGCCACTCTGCTTCATCTCCGTTGGTGGCCGTGCAGATGAAAAGAGCCGGTAGCCACCAGGCCTCGAGGATGAAGTCTCAGAAAGCACCTGGAGAAATAGGACTCTGTATTACCATTTTGGCACCTCAACCAAGAAGTCTAAAACCCTGGTCCTGAATTCCTGCCCCTATAAAGCCAAGCAATGTCAGAAAGTCTGGAAGAATCAAAAGATTTTTATGGGGGAAGAAGAATGAAAAGGGAATGAAGAATGTGCTTCGCAGAGGGAACTGTACAGGGAATCCCATACCAGAAGGCACTTGTATTTCCAAGATGCCTGCCCCCATTGCCCTTCTATCCCAAATCTGAGAAATCATTATTCAACTATTTTCAGTTCTCAGCAGAGCAGTATTCCTTAATCTTATCTATCCCTCCATGGGACTCAGAAAGCCAATCACAATAGCTGAGTAACAATAAGAAGTAAACTCTGGCTACCCTCTCTTCTTTCCGTGGGACAACTGTGGTTATGGCAACCACACTCAGTTTCTTATCTGAACCAAGAGGCCCTCCCCTCCATGTCTGGAGATGTGAAACAGATTTCTAAAAAGGCTACGAGGGCCTAATCACACAAACCGCAACATACACACCCTCCAACCCCCAGATAATGTTCTGAGTCCCTAGGTCCCAAAAGGCAAAGATAGAGGCAGGAAAGGAAGATGAAGTAGGGAGGGACACCTGTGTGCAGGATGCCAGGTGAGTGGTGGACACAGCCCGGGGCTGTAGGCTGATGGCTGGGGAAGGCCGGGGGAGGTCTCCTGACCTCCTGCGACGCCGTCCCCGCAAGGGGATCAGGTCCAGGTTCCCCGTGCACTGCATATTCATGACCTGCAATCAGACCGGGTGGAAAGCCGGTCACGGCTCCTTTAACTCCCAGGTTCCCAAAAGCCCCAGTGAGGCAGAGCTAGTTATAGACCTGGAGAGGATCATTACCTAGGGCACAGCTGCTATGAAGGTCACAGATCTATATTCTAAAACTGTCCAAAAATATGAGATGACAAGAGCAGAAGAAGGGATGGGGGAAGGGTTGTAGTCAATAAGGATAAAACTACCAATGCCTATACCTATAGAATAAGGAGAGGAAATATTAATATTAAAAGGCTGTGTGACCAAGGAGTAAAGAGACGATTTTCTTGCAAAACTGAGGAACATATCTTGGGCTACCATCATCCTGGATAAGCCATGGTATAAGTAACACTAGGAACTAAAAGGAAGGAATGTGGTTACAACAGGAAGCTTCCCTATAGTCCTGAAAGAAAAAAGCCAACTCCTCAAGTCTGAGACATGATACACAGAGGGCTCTGCTTTGCCCATGTCTCTTGACTGCTTAAACCAGAAAAGTGGGGGTTAAGCACAACAGTGCCAGAGAGACTGGCAGACGATGTGAATGGGGAAGACATTCAGATGTGGAAAAGCATTTTATTGATGGAAGATTATACATCATTCTGTCTATTTGATCTAGTCACATGAGTCTGCAGGGTACTAGTATATTATGGATACTAAGTTAACTTATACATCAAAGGGAAAATGATGCATACCACACTTAAAGAAGCTCTGAGTAGTCACAACATCAAATCTATCTTAAAATAATCAGGAAGAAAAAATAAGCCCAAAACAGAGTGCAGTTTATCTTTTCAACTTTCTCCAAAATCTGAACTGTAAACCTCTGGCTGAACCTATGTAAGCTAGTTGCAAATTCTTCTGAGCTAGTCCTAAAATGAAAGATCAGTTCCTTTAAGACAGAGAGCTGGTACAAAGCCAGGTGAACAGATTTGTCTGTCAAAGCAGGACCCAAATCAGACAGTCAGAGTCACTGAGACAGGGATAAATCATGGGGTCAAAAAGAGTGTCATTGGGCCCAAGAGGAAAAGACTCTGCAGGAAAAAACCAGGAACAAAAACTCCAGCACAGTTAGCTGGATACAACGTAACATTTACAACAGTTCCTTCCTCTAGGCTAGAGAATTGGAACCAAGCCTAGAGGCAGACACAGGCCCAGGTCCATAGATCTCCTCATCAGAACAGAGGGTAAGACAGAGAGACCTTCATACTTTATTTCCTTTCTGGAATGAATACCGATAACTCTAAAGGAATGAAATTAGAGCGCTATATAATTGCTCCTGTTTGAGCTACAGTTTTTAACCCAAGGGAACAAAGAGATGGAGACAGCCTGGCCTTTAATATCAATTGTTATTATTATAGCTACTGTTTACTGAGCATCTATATGGTGGATATTGCTTGTGTTTCATAGACAAAAAAAACTTGAGGCTTGGAGAAGTTACCTGTCCAAGGTCACACAGCTTCCAAATATCAGCCTGGGAGTTTAGCCCAGAGTTCATGTTGTTTCTACTATATTTCCTTTTATTTATTTATTTATTTTTTAAAAATTTTTTTTTCAACGTTTATTTATTTTTGGGACAGAGAGAGACAGAGCATGAACGGGGGAGGGGCAGAGAGAGAGGGAGACACAGAATCGCGAAAGATCGTGACCTGGCTGAAGTCGGACGCTTAACCGACTGCGCCACCCAGGCGCCCCTATATTTCCTTTTAAAGAACAGCCCTTTCAAATTCATCCAAAGGCCTCCTCCTCATTATCATCTCTTAAAATCCTATCTCTCGGCACCTCTCACTGATATCTCCTTAATCTCAGAGGTAGCAACCAACTTAAAGGAGCTTTATTGGGAGACCAGCTATGAAACGGAGATTAAATAAAACATATCCATCAGGGGTAGAAGGACTCTGCTTAAGGTGCCAAGAATCCCCCCAAGGGGATTCAGAGGATTCATGGATATTGTCCTATGAGCAATTCCACCACTTCTTTCTCCCAAGCCCCTCCTATTACCTCCATGGAGCCGGCTTTTCGGTTACGAATGAGGGGTGATCTCCTTGGGAGGCCAGGGCCCTCAGGGGGCTGAGGTGAAGTCTGCAATGCCCGGTCTGGCTCATCCGATGCCTTCCCTGGGCACAGGTTCTCCATGCTGCCTTGGTCTGCTTTCATCTCTTCATTCTACCCAACAACAAGCACAGATTCAAGAGGAGTTAATGGCCTCCAGCCTCCTAATCCTAGACCCCCAACCCTCTTACCTCCCTGTACTGTTTTCAAGTTTCCCACCACTTGGTTCCTAAATCCTCTAATCTAAAACCCCAGCACTCCAACCCACCTCAGAAGAAGCTGGACGGAATCCATAGCCAGTTGGGGCGTTGCCTTCTTCCTCAACACCTTTCACTCCAGGGCTGAAGTGTAGCTCCACATGGAACCGCTCCTCTGATAAGGGATCCTATGGGGCATCAACAGATGAAGGGGCAGTTGGAAAAGCTGAATATGGTGGTGGAAGACCAGGCAGGGACAACAGAGAAGAACTCAAGAGGATATATCCTCCCAGGGATGAGGTTCCAGTATCTTACTCCACTTTGGGGCTGATCTATTGTAAGCTTCCCCTTAACTATAGTCTCGTGTTAAAGGTTCCTCATTACCTCACTTCTACCATTTGTGATCCACCACCCCACACAACTTTCTAGCCTCCAGTTCTACAACTCTTTCCATCCATCTCTCACAGTAATTCAGTTTTGCTACAGTACATACAGCAGCACAGTTAAAGATACCTTTGTGAAGCCAGATGAAAAACGTATAATAATGTTTGAGTGAAAAAGACTCATTATAACATCATCCCAAATTCTATACCCTCCCTAATGCAGAGCTATGTTGTCTGATATCTCTCTGGCTCAACACCATCCCAAAACACTTTTTTTGTTCCAGTAGGAATCTCCTGGATGCTCTGTGACATGCTGTCCTTGGGTGTCACACCTAGCTGAATTCTACAAATTATAAGGATATGAAAGTTTCTAAGATGAGAAGGAGGAGAAAGAAGGGGCACCCTCCTTACCCTCCCCCCCCCCCCCCCCCCCCCCCCGTTGGGTAATGCTCCTCACCCGTGTGTTGTCCTCATAAAGCATGATGACAATCTGGGTCATATAGTTGAGCTCTGAAATGGCACTAAGATAAGCCAAAGCTCGCTGCCATTGTGCATCCTGGGTCTCCTACCGAACAAAAGAAGATGAAAGTCAATGACCAAGGACCAGGAAGTCATGGAAGGGGCAGGGAGACAAAGAGAATACAGAAGGCTTGTAATAAAAAGCAGGAAGAGGAGAGTAAAAGAATGCTTGGAATAAATGTTCATACGTTGAAGGAAGGAGGATCCTTACATCAAGAAGTCCCCCATAACGGAATACACTGAGTAGGGAATGGACATGGCTTTCACTGGTGAAATAGAGACGTGTTCGAACATGGCGACCTGGGGAGAGCACCCCTCGAGAGTACCTAAGATAAGAGCTAAGTCATTCACACTGTCAGATAATTTTCTTCCCACCCTTCCACAAACTCTTTCCTCCCAACTCAAAGACTGCTTTCCTTTCTATCCCAGGATCCCTTCTATTCTTGGTTCCCCAAGCTGTACCAGCCTGGATTCCCCCCAGGGCTCCCTGATATGCCCCTCCCTCCATCCAGCACCCCTCCCAGCCCTCCCTCACAGGGGATGCAGCTTGTTGACAGACTCATCCTCGTGGGTTCTCTGCAGGTCAAGTAGTATCTTCCGCAACAGTGGAAGACAGAAGCCCACAGCAATTTCCAGTTTCTCCTCCCGACTGATCCCGTATTCCTAGGGGCCACAGGCCAGGAATGAGTACGTCGATGAATCTTGTTTCCCTCTTGCCTCATACTCCCAGGCCCAAGATGATGCTTGTCTTCACCTCAGGTCTAGAGTTTCTTTCATATCCACCACATTCCCCCTCTCCAGGTGTCTCCTCAGTTAGCCTCTTGCACTTACTCAGAGCCAGAGTGAACCCTGACAAATATAGCAACTCAACTAATTCTTTCTCTAAGTTTTCTTTCCCTGGTTCCCACACCATCCCTCCTTTCTGCTTTTCTCCCCTTCCTTTCCCAGTGCCCCAGGCTATGAGACACACCTGGGGAATGACCACATCAGCCAGGGCCTTAGAGAGACGTAGTAACTCTGCTGTGCCTTGAAGTCCCAGACTCCCATTGTGCTGCACATCATACTTGACACAGTCATAGATGTCAGGGATCTTACTGATATCATAGCGCCCACTCTTCTGTCGAAAGTCACGCTCTAGCTTGCTCCAACGCTGTAGCATGAGCTCTAGAGTCTCACTGTGGTAGAGTTGCAGGTCTGGAAGGAAGACAGACAGTCAGAAAGAACCAAAGATTTTACCTTCAACAAAAGACCCTAAAAAATCTGCAGTAGAATCAGAGAGATGAGGATGCCTTGTTTCAGACACTTAGAAGAGGGCACAGGAGTGCCTGAGTAACCCATCCATACCTGAAACCTTGAAGGGAAGATAGTACTATTCATACCCACCTACAGACTTGGGGTCCTGCATCCTTTCCCGGATCTGATGAGTGAGGTTTTCAATCAGGGCAAATACCTGATCACAGACCTTTACAGGATTCTGGATGATAGCCATGGAGTTGAGGAGGGAAGTGCTTCCAGTGGGAGCGAGCTATGAGCAACAGAGAGATGAAAAGCAAAATAGGCTCTGTGCTGATTGTGCAGAATCCTGTGAGCCTATTACAGAAACTGTCTGTCAGTAAGATCTGTTTGCAGGCTCACTCTAATGAGGATTCTTGGGCTACAGGGCAGACCACCAGTTCCAAGATGAGAGGATTGCTCAAACACACAGTCATCTAAGGAGGGTTGAGGGTAAAAGCCTTAGAATCCAGAGGAAATAAAATAAACCTAGGTTCTTTTATTGGGGGTTCTAAAATATACATGGAAAATACTGAGGAATAAAGATTAAACCAACCCCTCACAATCCCTACACAAGGTTTTCATGAGTGGGTAACAGAGATAACAAAATCTTATTCCTCTAAACAAAATGTTAGCTTGAACCTACAGCAGAGGTCTTGCCTCAGAACTAGATTCCAGCTCAAGCTTTCAGGACAGTGACAGTCAATGAAGAATGGGGAAGTGAAAAGAGGATTATGGGTGGAATACACATATTCAACCTAGGTCCTCACAAGTCACATTTTTGCTAGCAAAAAGAAGCAAGAGAGAAAGAAAAAGTGCTTTAGCTTTTGAATTTGACACTGATTGGAAAATAAGAGAGCAAGGTCCTGTCCTTATTAAGTCCTGCTCAGAGAAAAATACAAAAAATGCCATTCTCCAATGTGCTCAGCTACTTAGCTCATTGAAGAACCCATCAGAAATGGTTACACCATATTGTGAATAGACTTAACTGAATATACTTAATACACTGAACTATACACTTTAAAATGATTCAAGTGGGGGGCACCTGGCTGGCTCAGTCGGTAGAGCAGTCAACTCTTGATCTTGAGGTTGTGAGTTTGAACCCCATGCTGAGTGTACAGATAACTCAAAAAAAAAAATCTTAAAAAAAAGATTCAAGGGGTACTACAGCTTCTATAAAAATATACTTTCTTTAAAAAACAAATCCATCAGAAATGAGGAGCTATCAGTGGGAGGATAGTACAAAATCACTGTCTGGCATATGATTACCAGTCAATCAAGGTCTAGATACACAGGAAAAAAAGATGACATTGGGTAATGGCATACACTGTGATCACTACCGTGAAACAATACACTATAGTGGTGAACAGTCCAGGCTCTCAGGTTAGACTCTTTGGGTTAATACTAATTAGGTGACCTTGGAAAGGTTGCTTAAATTTTTCTGAGGTTAGGTTTTCTCATTTTTAAAATGGGGGAAAAGTAGTACAAGTCCACAGTTCTTATGGTGGATTAAATATGGTCATTAACTCTTTGTCACCTTCTCCTTGCCTACAATCTACACTGTGTACTGGCCCTGTGACTGCTTAACCAAAATAAAATAAAATAAAATAAAAAAAACCCAAAAAGCAAAGTTACATTTTACTAATTAAGTCTGGACATATACTTTAAAAGAGCTCGGGGGGTGCCTGGGTAGCTCATTCGGTTGAGCATCCGATTCTTGATTTTGGTTCAGGTCATAATCTCAGGGTCATGGGATCGAGCCCCATGTTATTAGGCTCTGTGCTGAGCATGGAGCCTGCTTAAGATTCTCTCTCTCTTTTGCTCCTCTCCCCTGCTTGAGTGCACTCTCTCTCTAAATTAAAAAACTGAAAATAAAAAATAAAAGAGCTTGGAAGGAGGCACCTAGATGGCTCAGTCAGTAGAGTGTTTGGCTCTTGACCTCAGGGTTGTGAGTTTGAACCCCATGTTGGGTGTAGAGGTTACTTAAAAATAAAATATTTTTTAAAAATATAAAAGAGCTTGGAAGCTTCTGCTTTTGGGATGTCCTAAGCTACCGTTTAAGAAGTCTGGCTACCATGCTAGAGAAACCACATGGAGAAAACATGTGGAGAGGAGAGGCTCTAAGACTATAGGTAGAGCATAAAGTGGGAGAGAACCCAGCTATGTTAGCAACCCAGTCAAGCCTTCAGATGGTTTCAGCCCCAACACATGGACATCTGGGCAGTTTTAGGAGAGACCCCAAGGAAGACCAGGTGAACCTAGAACTATGAGTAAGATAAAATGGATATTGTTTTAAGTTACTGAGTTTTGGGGTAGTTTTTTAAGTAGCAATAAATAACTGAAACATTATTTCATTCAAAATCTTTGGGACTGCTTTAGAACTGAGAATTTTTCAGACTTTAGAGTTAATATAGCACATAGTCATATGTTATATAATACCTCTAGCAGGACTGAGGGCATAACTAAACACATTTATGTTTCTGCAGCACAATGTATGACTACTTACACTAAACAAAATAAATAGGAATTAGTAATAGTCTTTTTTTTTTAAGTTTATTTATTTATTTTGAGAGACAGTGCAAGCAGGGGAAGGACAGAGAGAGAGAGAGAGAAAGAGAGAGACAGACAGATAGACAAACAGAATCCCAAGCAGAATTTGCACCGTCCATGTGGAGCTGGATGCGGGGCTTAAACCCATAGATTATGACCTGAGCTGACATCAAGAGTCGGAGGCTAAACTGACTGAGCCACCTAGGAGCCCCAAGAATTAGAAATAGTCTTATCATGTCAGGTTTTGCTACCAAATGAATCTTGGTGCCTGATCTTTTTTATTTTTGAAATTATGAGTAAGAGATTATAGACCCATACTTAACTCAAAGGGTAAAGATTGAATGAGAAAATGTATGGAAAGCAGTGTCTACCATGTAGTAAGTACCATTATTGATCACTATTACTTAGAATTCTAGGAATCTGGGATGGCGGTACATTGGGCACAAAAATAGGGAGAGCCTGACCTGATCATAATCCTCAGGACCAAAGGGTGCATCCTGTTGCAAAATATGGTGCAGTCGAGCCTTCACCCGGTGCTGGCAGCTGCTCAAGGAATCGCCATCGCTGTCCAGTAGCCCATTCATGTTGGCACTCTTCACCATTTGTACCAAAATGGGTGTTAGCTCCCCTTCTAGAGCCAGAAGGCCCTGGAGGGGAAGCACAAAATCTATTAGTTTTCCTTCCAGTCTACTTCCCCTAAGCCTAAATGGTCTCAGAGATCAAATGAGAGCTGGTGTGGAGGCGAGGAGTACAGGTCAAGGTGCTTACGCCCACTTAATTATTCTCAGTTCATTCTCAGTGGTACAGAATGGGTCAGACACAAGCAGAAACTTCTCTGAGTCAGCACATAAACACCCTGACATTTCCCAACTAGTTCTCCAAACTCTTAGCTTCTCTATCTAATGGAAGCTGGGACTGTGAAAGAACTATAGTGTGCACCTTAGCAAAGGCAGCAGCAGTCATCTGGACACGGCCCTCATCAGAGGCATAGATCTTGAGATCATGGCGGAAAGTGCTATGGAGACGAAGCAGCCCACAACCAGGGAAGCCAGCATAGTCACCTGGGGGAGAAGGGGGAGGACCAAGAATGGACTGCTATACATACCCACATGGAAGAAAGAATGCTCCTTTCCCCCTTTAACTTTCCCATTGCCTCTGTCTCTTCATTCCCACAATTTATTCTCTAATCATCTCATCCAAGCCCTGTTATTTGCCCCCCAGACACTCACCCTGTCCTCCAGGGTACATGCAGCGAAAAGCTCTTCCCAGCTCCTCAGCCTGAACACGGCCATCAGGAGTCAGTTCTCCACCCCACTTCAGTACCAGCAACAGAGAAGGGGATAGGGCCTCCCGCTGTGGATCTTCAGGAATAAGGGGAAGTGAATAGGTCTAGATCTAAGAAAAATAGCTGGGAGGGGGGGCAGCTGGGTGGCTCAGTCAGTTAAATGTCCAACTTCAGCTCAGGTCATGATCTTAAGATCTATGAGTTCAAGTGGCTTTGGGCTGTCTGCTGTCAGCACAGAGCCCGCTTTGGATCCTCTGTCCCCTCTCTCTACCCCCCCTCTCCCCCCCAAAATAAATAAACATTAAAAAAAAAAAGAAAAGAAAAAAAAAGGAAAGTAGTGGGGACATCTAAATGTCAGGTCTTCTGAGGAGCCCAGAATGGTGATCTGGTGTAGAGGTCATCTAAAGGTTTTGCTTTTTATTATTTATTTCTATATTTTAATTTACAACCAAGTTAGTTGGCATATAGTACAATAATGTTTTCAGGTGTACAATCCAGTGATTCATCTCCTACGTATAACACCCAGGGCTCATCCCAAGGGTTTTGTTTATTTTTTTTAAGTTTATTTATTTTGAGAGAGAGAGACAGAGAGGCAAGAGCGCAAGTGGGAGAGGTGCAGAGAGAGAGGGAGAGAGAGAATCCCAAGCAGTGTCACATTGTCAGTGCAGAGCCTGATGTGGAGCTTGAACCCACGAACCGTGAAATCACGACTTGAGCTGAAATCAAGAGTCAGAGCACCCTCAGGTCATCTAAAGGTTTAAGAATAAGAGACTTGAGTGGTAATGGGAAGGGAGTATTATATCTTACCTTGCCCCTCATTAGTAGCTTTTACTCCATGAGGGTAGTAAGTCAACTGCACCTTCCGATTGATGCCTGAGAAATGACCATACCTGCAGGATAAACTCAGTTTACTTTCTACCCCAGCACCTAGTTCTCACTGTCATTGGCTCCCCTCTCCTATCCCCTTTCTTACATCTCCAGCACAGACTTCAGCTGCTCTAGTTTCCCAGTCTTCTCTTCGATCTCACCACCTGGTTCTTTCTCCAGTTCAGCCAGTAACAGCCTTGTGATGTCCAGCACCTCCTGGAGGAAATAATAGGGTATCCATGAAGGAGACCAAGTCCTGGGCAGTTATCCTTTCATCCTGGTCTCTCACTGAGGCCCCTAATCCCATACCCACCTCGCTCCTCCCAGCCCAATTCACCACCTTACCTGTAGCTGCTCAGGCCGCTTCAGTTTTAATTTCCCTGTCTTGTAGCCACCATGTTTTTCAAACAGACTGAAAAATCTGAAGAAATAAGGAAAAGCTTCAGTATGGGGTGAGACAGTCAAAGCCTTTGGGAACTTCCCCATCCCCATCTCTCTCACAAAAACCTATTTGTCTAAACCAGGACATTCATCCTACCTTGGATGTGTCACCTCCATCTTCATTTTCTGCTTGGGAGTACGATCTCCATGACGGATAATTGCAATGACACAACGGAGTTCCATCCTAAGATAGGGAATGTCGTTAGAGCCTTTCCTCCAACCCACCCCACACCACCTCCCATCATTTCATCCTGCATGACATGTCAAAGAGCAGAGGAAAAACTGAGATTAAGAATATAGGCAGGGTTAAGGAAATTGCCTAGAAGATACCCAGCCTCCACTAGTCATATGGTATAGGGTCAGAAAGTAACCACTGGTCTGATTCAGGTGCCTTAAGTAGGTTACTCCAGATTTTATACTTTTGCTCACATAGTGCCAGATGTGGTAGGGACAATGGGAATGTCCTCAGCCTCTGTGGGGATGGACCATGGGATCTGGAACTGTGGAGCAAGCTCCCGCATGATGGTGTTCCTAGAAGGAAAAACATGAAGAAATGTATGAAAATGAATGAACCACAACTACACATATGAATAAAGCTCACAGAAATTAGCAAGTTGTAGAATATATTGTATAAACTCTAAAAACATGCCCCCCAAAAAAGCCCCCATAGATGTATTAAAATATTAATAAATGCATGGGAATGACAAACACCAAATTAAGGATTGTGGTTACCTCTGGGTAGAAAGGGAAGGGATGTAATTAGCAAGGAGTATTCTTAATATTTTATTCAAGCCTGAGTGGCTCTGTCAGTTAAGTGTCTGACTTCTGCTCAGGTCATGATATCACAATTCATGAGTTCGAACCTCACATCAGGCTCTCTGCTGTCAGCACAGGGCCCACTTCAAAAGGATTTTTTTTCATGTTTATTTATCTTTGAGAGGCAGAGAGAGACAGAGAACCAGCAGGGGAGGAACAGAGAGAGAAGGAGACACAGAATCCGAAGCAGGCTCCAGGCTCTGAGCTGTCAGCACAGAGCCCGACGTGGGGCTCGAACCCACGAACTGGGAGATCATGACCTGAGCTGAAGTCAGTTGCTTAACCGACTGAGCCACCCAGGTGCCCCAGGGCCCACTTCAGATCCTCTGTCCCCCTCTCTTCTTGCCCCTCCCCTGCTTGCACTCTATCAAAATAAATAAACCTCAAAGAAAGATTTTATATCTAATGTTTTATTTATTTATTTATTTAGAAAGAGACAGAGTGTAAGCAGGGGAGGGGCAGAGAGAGGGAGACACAGAATCCCAAGCAGGCTCCAGGCTCTGAGCTGTCAGCACAGAGCCTGATGCGGGGCGCGAACTCTAGGAATGAGATCATGACCTGAGCTGAAGTCGGACACTTAACCCACTGAGCTACCCAGGTACCCCAGAAAAATTTTATATATGAAGATTTATGGTGAATACATGAATACTCACTATGTTCATTATTCCTTATACATTTTTATTTTTTTAACTTTTCAAAAATTCATGTATTTATTTTGAGAGAGAGAAAGAACTCACACATGTGCACGAATGAACAGAGGAGGAGCAGACAGAGGCAGAGAGAGAAAGAGAGAGAGAGGGAGAGACAGAGAATCCCAAGCAAGCTCTGTGCTGTGAGTGTGGAGCCCAATGTGGTCCTTGATCTCATAAACCTTGAGATTATGACCTGAGCGAAAATCAAGAACTGGACATTTAACTGACAGAGCCACCCAGGTACCCCTCCTCGTACATTTTTAAATATTACATGGTAAATTTACTTTAAAATCAAGTTTTAAAACAGTATTACAGTATGAACACATTTAGTACTATAAATAGTTTGTTTATACATGGTAGAAAAAGACATATATGTAAAACTGCTAACAGTTTTAACTGGGGAGTACAGTGTTAGGAAGGCAAGAGGGCTAAGAAGCCCTTTTTTTATTTTCCTTTTTTCATTTTTTAATCCTTTTTATAATATTTAAAATAAAGCAAAAAGCTTTCTAACTCTCTTCTCTAAGCCCATTCTCCCCAGTCCAGACCACTGTGTCCTTACCCCAGGATCTTGGCACAGTCATCATAGTATTTCATCGAATTCTTGACAAAACTGAAGCCATTGACATCACACACAAAGGAGTGACCATTGGCACGAAGAAGGTCAAAACCACAAACTGTTTGCTGCAGTGGAAAGAAGCAAGATGAAAACAAGAGAGCCACTCTTTCTTCCAGACCCCTGCTCCTGTCCCTTTCCCTCACTCCACAGCACCATCCCCCAAGGGCCTTTCACTACCTTAAAAGCTACACAGACTTTCCTGGCCACCAGCTTTTCCATGGCAGTCAGCATGACTGGATATCGAATCTCTTTCCCTTCACTGTCTCGTTCGACCTTCCCATCGAGAGCTGGAGATTTTCTGGCTTCAGCATGGGCATAATCTGGTCCCACTGTATATACCTGCAGGTACATAGCATCACTGAGTATGCCCACCGCTCATCCTGCATATGAGAAGACAACATGAGCACTAGGTCTGTAAACTAGTTTCGGAAACAAAACAAAACAAAACAAAAAAACCCTGAGTATTAAGAACAAGGAGACTGACATTTTCCTTACTGGGCCCCACCAAAGTATCCTTATGAAGGTTTCTCCTTGGGACCCCAACACCATTTATTACCTAGTCCTCATTAAGAAATAACTTACAATATTATACCATTTTCCATGTTACCCTTGCCCTTGCTCTGATAGTAACCATGTAAATGTCTACTTCTCTCATTCATTATTTTCACCTGAATGTAAAAGCAAATCACATTCACTTTATTTTCTGTGACTTTCTCCATACACTTCCACTTGCTTCCCAAGCACCCCATCCCAACCCAGACATTTATCACTTCTTAAATCCCTGTATCCACCATAACCTTGACATCTGTGCCATCTGTTGGCATAAACTCCTCATAGATGTATGATCCTGTCTTTCGGACGCTGCTCTCAGGAGAGTAAACACTGCTTCGGCTGCCAATCTTCAGGAGGAAAAAGAAGAAAAAAATATTGCCTTCACGTTGTCCCCAAATTCTCCAGCTCTTGTCCTTCCACCTATCTGACTTCCCCAAATGCTCAAATGTCTCCCATACCTTTCGGAAGAGGCGCTGACTTCCTCCTCCAGCTGAACTGGGGTAGTAGATGTAAACATTATGGTCCTCTGCACTCACTGGCTTCTCCACAAAGGGCTTGGGAAAGACAGCTCCATTTACCTCTACCTGGTCTTCACCTTCTATCAGGTTGCACTCTGAAGTAAAATTATGTGGTCATTCCCAGGGTCGAGGATTGTAGAATACTTCCAACTCCCATTTCTCTGAGTTTTAATCTTCATAACCCTCAAATCTCTATGACCATATCTTAGTAGTAGATATGGTAATATATGCTATATAAATATGATAATATCTACATAAGAGGTCTAAGTCTCTGTTTAAGGACCCATGGTTCTGACTCTACCCATTGCCCAATAACCAAAGCCTCACTTGGATAAGTAATACATGGAGATGTCCAGAAGATGGACAGCTGGGCTATGTTACAGAAAGCAAGGTGGGGCAGGACTGGATAAAGCGAGGTACTCACCCTCAGGCCGGGCAGGGTCACGATTGAGCACAGCATATCGAGGCAGATCAATACCTTCCTCCTGCAGGATCCGGTACACCTCCCTCCTGTCACCCCCAAATAAATTAGCTGGGGGAGGTGGGGAATGGTGAACAAGGGAAGAGGCTAGGGATTTCATTTGCTCAGGAATTGGGAGATACCAGGGTATAGAACTTGGGAAGGTATGATACAAAAATTAGGCATGTTTGTTTGACTCTGCCCCTCCCAGAGTGGGCTCTCTAAACAGGCATGATCTCAGGACTGCCCACCCCACCAATCAACAGAAAGCTATACCTATCCTGGATGTAATACTGCATAGCCAGGTCATTGATAAGAAAGGGGTTTCGAAGCTTGGAGTAAGCAACAGCTTTGTCCAGAGGAAATCCTGGGATAGAAAAAGGAAATAGATCAAAAAAAGAAAGTGAAAGAGACAGAGTGAGAAAACAGCAAGAGAAATAGAGGTATTAAAGCTAAAGTTGCCACTAAGCTCCTCTACCCATCCAACCCGTAACATCCTTCTGCCCAACTTCCCAAGTCTATAATATCCATCAGGAAAAAGTTAAAAAGATGTTATTTCTAGGGTCCTTCTAGAGACACACAACTCTGTCAGAGACCCTAACAGCTTTAGAACTGTCCTGAGGTTCAAATATGGGCTTTACACTACCGCCAGCAACTCTTCCACAACACAGGGAAAGGAAACCCCTTTGCACTGTTCGCCAGTGTGTCAGCAAGAGCTGATGACCACTGTACTATTCGACAGTAAGAACCTCATTTCCCAGGCCAGCATTCCCAACACCATTCCTCCCACTTTCCTTCACAGACTCCAACCTTTGGAGTGGAAAGAGATGAGGCAGTGGCAAGATGGCCAGTTTTCCACAGGTTCATTGAGGATCACGTCTTCTCCCAGGATGATAACAGTTAGGTAGTCAAATCTGCAAAGTCGCTCTAGGATTTGGGTCATTGGCTTGGACTTGGATTTCTTGGTCATGGCACAGATGCCAACAATGATCTGAGGTTCAGGAGGCTATAGAGAGGAAGTACTGTCAGGAACTTAGGAACTTCCCACCTAGACCATCCCTATTTAGGGAACACTGTCTCATTTCCTTAGGGCATAGAGTTTCTTGCCAGGCTTTGGAACTATGGGGCAAATGCTGTCTCCCAACTTAGGTCTAGATTGGAGTGCCTGTAGGGATTCCTACTGTCTCAAGAATAGGAGGCTTTCCACAGTAGGAAATGTGTGCTCAGGTAGGAGAGCTAGAGAACCAATAACCAGGACACAACAGGAGGAAGGCATAAAGGCAAGGGATTCAAAGATAGGTAATCTAACCAATCTCTACTGCCTCTCCTCTTAATCAAGATAGGGCCTGTTTATGACAGGGAGTCTACGCATTTGGAAAGGGCGGAGGAGTATCTCCAGCCAATGGAATCTCAACTCTCTATGACAGGGGTCCCAACACCAAGTTATGTCATTTTCCTTAGTCTTACCACTTCATCCTCCTCATCCTCAAGGAGCTCGCTGTCACTCTCTTCTGTCCTCATGCCTATTCCACGGGTGCCCAGCCCCTCATCTCCAGCTCCAAGGAAGAAGTGGGCCGTGGCACTCTCGCCCTCACTGGCCGGCAACGACCACATCCCCACCGGAGCACCCACTCATCCCGCTCTGCAATGGAGGGCATCCCATTAGCTCAGAATCCAAACCCGCATGGCAATGGGTGGGGATGGGGCATAGGGAATGATAAAATAAGAGGGAACCATAAGGAGACTAGGGGGAACAGGAAACAAAGCTATCATAAAAAGGAACAACAGGAAAGGAGGCACGTGGGCTATGACTTGACATGACTAAAGATCCGTAAGAGAAAAGGTCTTCCTTTTCCTCCCTGCTCACTCTACCCCAACCATGAGACTGGTAAGAGGATCAGTAAGTTAACCCTTACAGTGCTGGCATGTCCCTGATTCTGCCAGCAGGAAACACCATTAACTCCAGCAGCAAGTGGAAAAGGCAGTTCCTCATGGAAGGCTGCTGTTGATTCCTACCAGAAGAGAAAGTTAGAGAGACATTTCCAACTTTGGATTCATTCCTAAACATTCCTATCCCTTCACCACCTCCCCAGAGTAGTGTTGAACTCAGGGATTTAATTCAAGGGCAGAGGTAATGAGAGAGCACAGCTGCCTTTGACCTTAACCCTCATCTTCATTCCTACCAAGGATTAACTCAAAAAGAATTTATTGAGGGCACTCTATGTTCTAAGCATTATATCAAAACATTAAAATCCTCTATGTTCCCTGTTTCTCTTCCATGTGCTCCACTTTAAAAGACAGATGCCCAAGTTTGGAAAATCTGTCAAGGAAAGAGGTCTAGTGCTAACTGGGAGGTTGAGGATACAGGCATCCATACAACAGCCTCCAACCCATTCTCAAAATAAAGTTTCAGTTTTCTCTCTACCATCTCCTGGTACTACAGACCCAAGTCGGGTCTAGGCCAAGGTGTCAGTAGGAAAAAATTCTGCCTAGAGCCATAATTAGTGAAAATATCTTTTTTTTAAATGTTTATTTATGTTTGAGAATGAGAGAGACAGAGCATGAGTGGGGGAGGGGCAGGGAGAAAGGGAGACAACCGAAGCAGGTTCCAGGCTCTGAGCTGTCAGCACAGAGCCCAACTCGGGGCTCAAACTCACAAACTGCAAGATCATGACATGAGCCGAAGTCGCGTGCTCAACCAACCAAGCCACCCAGGCTCCCTAATCAGTGAGAATATCTTAAGATTTACGCTTGGATTAGAATAATCCGGCAGTTCCATTTCTACATATACACATGTACAATAGTGGTTCTTAACCAATTGTGATTCTGCTGGCCAGGGGACATTTGGTAGGAAGCACTTTTGGTCGTCACAACTGGGAAGGTGCTATTGGTGTCTAATGAGTAGAGGCCAAGGATGCTGCTTAATAGTTTCAAATGCATAGGATGTTCCCCCACAATGAAGAATTATCCAGTCCAAAATATCAGTAGTGCCGAGGATGAGAATCTCTGCTGTAAAGAAACTCTCCCACATAACGTGCAAATATGTTCATAAACTCACTGTTGGTAATGGGAAGAACTGAAAACTCAGAGGTCACAAGTAGAATGGATAAATACAGGGTAGAATATACAAATGATAGACTAACAGCAGTTTTAAAAAATGAATCAGGGGCAACTGCGTGAGTCGGTCAGTTAAGCGTCTGAGTCTTGGATGTGGCTCAGGTTATGATCTCACAATTCATGAGTTTAAGCCCTACGTCGGGCTCTGTGCTGACAGCATGGAGCCTGCTTGGGGTTCTCTCTCCTTCTCTCTGCCCCTCCCCATCTCGTGCTCACTCTTTCAAAAAAAGAAAAGATGTCTGTAATAATATGGACAGCTTCCAAATGCAAACTGCAGAAATACACGCATTGCAGTACAATTCAGTTTGCATAAATAAAAAATATTACATGTATTTATGACTGTATACATAATTAGTAGAGGTCTAAAAATATGGACTGAAAAGAAAAGCATCAAATTCATAATACTGGTTACCTCTGAGGACAGGGTAAAATGGAACTGAGAAGGATTTGAGTGGAACTTTACAACCTTATCTGTAATGTTTATTTCAATTTTTTAAAAATCTGAAACAAATACACAAAAGGTTAACACTTGTTAATACCAAATTGTGAGGATACATATACTATTTGTTTCCAAAAATAAAATTGAGTCACCCAGCAGCAATTTTTCACATTCTCCAAAAGTTCTCAGAAATACTAATGACTCTAATGAACACCACATTTTAAGTAAATGGATCATCTTAACAGACTTATAAAATAGTCTTCAACAATTACATTTTGTATTTTATTTTAAACCCTTACCATTCCCAGTGGGATTTGCAGCTTTGATTAGAAAATTATTGCTAACCTTTGTATAGACCTTGACCTCCCCAGTCTTTACCATCTGCTTGTCTCCACAGGCCGGTCACAACATTCTCCTTAAGACTTAACATTTCCAGTTGTGTACTGCAGGTCTTGTACATATGCTTTATCTTTGAACCCCTTTTTAGTGACCTGACCCAATTTCCACGACCTGTATAGTTTAAGCAGGCAGAATTTTGTTGCACCCTTTATCCTTTATCTGAAGCAGGGGCTTTCCCTCATGTCTAAGATTCCTAACCCTTCACCCTTTTTTTCCACTAAGTCCTTCCTGATTTTCTACTGAATGTATATAGTCATTTTTCCTGAAAATCTTTTACAACTCTATAACAGGGGATGGTAACAGAATGGGGAAGAAGAGTCTGTTCACAGATCCTTTAAGGGGCTAAAGAGATACATAAAGGCCTAAATTTATAGTTAACAAAGCAAAAATAGAAGCCTGACAAAAACAGCTATGAAATAAGACAGGATTTATTTAAATGTACCTTTGAGAGAAGCTGGGATTTAATATGGTATTCCAAGAGCCATTCCCCTGTTTTCCAGGCCCTTCTTCCCATCACCCTTTCCTTCAATACTTTGTTGCAAAAGAAAACTTCACACTCTACACTAGGCTAAAGCAATCTCACTCCCAAGGCCGAATCAATGCAAATGACGGAAAAAAGAGAGGATGGGAGGAGGGGAGAAGATAAGTAGGTGAGAAGAGAGGGTGGGGCAGAAGGGAGGGTAAACTGTGTAACTTCTTGGTCCCTTAGAATTTAGGGCTCTTTGCAGTAGTCCTCTAATTTCCTTAAACACCATGCACTTAATGGAGGGCACCATTACTGGTGAAGGGGACACATCAATACAGAGTCCAGGCAGGAATATTTTCAACACAGTAAAACTCCTCAGGCAACCAACACTAGCTCCTTCTCACCTTCCACAGTGGACCCCTAAATTCTTTCTGAATGCAGCGTTTAATCCTTCACACAGACCCTTATTCTCACACGGATGAATTGGGCTGAAGCCCTTCTTCTACCAACTCACTCATACTCCCTTCTTTCCCTAATTTGCAACAATGACTCTCCATGGACCCTCCCCCAACCACTCAAGACACTGCTGCCCCCTCCCCCATCACTGATCAACGAATCCAATTAATAATCCAAGTAATCCTCTCACTCAGTGATTCTCCAACATTAAACTGCCCTCCAAACCCGCAAATGAGTCACCACACTTGGTAACAATTTATATGGAACACTCAATGATCTCCCACAAAGACTGCCTTAGACCAATTCCGTCCTCACATTAGCTCTCTCCAGGGTACCCTCCTCTCTGTAACAACGCCTGCCTGCAGCTGATCCTCTCCAGAGTCGACTCCATTCCACCCCTCCTCACACAGACCTCCCCACCCTGACCCTCTCTCGGGCTGCCTCCGCTCCTCACGCAGGACTCCCTCTTCCGCAAATCCTCACACCCCTCTGTTCTCTTGCTGACCCCCTCCGGTGTGT